TGGGCAGTCTGATCAAGCTGCGAGATATGTTACTTCTGCTCCTCTAATTATGGACGATGTCACGGAAAAGTTGGATGTTCAAAGATACATTGGAAGAAAAGTTAAAGAGAAAATTACAGAAGGAAACCTACAATTCCATCATCAACACTACTCTTCCATTAACCCCCAGTTAGCTCCACCCTTATAGTCAACAAATTTTGAGAAAATCAAGATCCAAACATCTTCGAGAATTCGCCTTGGTCACACAATGGATCTCAAAGAAGTCCTCTTCCCCTATCTGCAATTGTGGACTAATTCGCGCTATAAAGCACATTCTCTGTGACTGCCTTAACTTTATCTTGGCTAGAAGTATTGTATTTGGAACGATTAATCCTTTGGACATTCCAAAATCAGCTTCAGAACAGAATATCAATTCAATATATTACTCTATCAAAACTACTAAGCTCAATATCTAATGTACTTTTATAAATTAGAATAGATAGCCCCTGTTGCTAGCGGTCAATGTCTTTTTTTAGTCTACGAATTTATTTCATTAGTCTAAAATTATAATAATAATAGTAATTGTATTGTTCGCATGTGAACATCTTTCTATAAATAAATTTGGCTTTTTTGGGTAGTTACCATTGTTTTTCTATATCTTTATTGCCAAAAACATCTTATTACAATTATTCTTACTGATTTCTACTGTAATATATTTCCTATTACTGTTATTAAAAGAAAAATATTATTATAATTATTTCCAATTATTCATCAATATTCAAATTTGCTAAATGTAATTTACACAAAAATAACTTGAGCATGTTAGAGCGCGAAATCGAACTTAGCACTACAAGTGAACTCACGATTCCACCGCACCAGCGCGGTGATAAGTGTCTTGTGGTTGAATTTACGGTTCATATGCACTGTTATTTTGTTTAATTGAAATTATGCCTCTGTTTAATGTGCAATTTTCAACGCATATATGTGCACACTTACAAATTCCCGTGGAAAAATGAGACCTGACGTCTGATCAGCAAAGTAATTTCTCCTCAACTTTATGTAACAGTTTGATCGTAGAAATGCAAATTTGATAATAAAGCAAAGGTATTTTTACTATTATAACTTTTTTGTCGTACAGCACAACTCGAACGGCTTGATACAAACGACACTTTCTAAAGAAATATTATAAAAAGTGCAAAAATATATACAAATGCAAAATGCCAAAGCGACAAGCGCGCATAATCCAAAAATGCATTGCGTATGGCATAAAACGAAGTGGTTTGAAAATTTTGGGATTATAGCGGAATCACTTAAGCCTTCGTGGAGAATTTGCAGCCATCATTTCAACCACCAATCGAAAGATTCGCTTGCATAAGCATGCTATTCCAACACTTAACTTCTAATTATAACGTATTGTAATATTTAAAGTATACTGCATATACGATTTATAAAGTTTATGTTCTGCCTCAGTATTGAAGAGAATACATATTTGATTTTCGACAAAAAACTTGGAGGTATCACTATATGTACTCCTTGTGATCCAGTAGATTGTGGCATTAAGGTATACTTTTGAGTAAGAGTATCGTCCAGAATATTGATGCACTATACACTACGTGTAAACAACAATCCCTAATTGTAGCCGAACATTGATTTCGCAATAATGATTACTGCATTGATCGAATTTGTGATCACCTGATATTTTTAAAGCAGATTAAGCAACTGAGTCAGGGTTATTCATTAATTCTTCGAAGACCAGTTTTACTTTGGACTAGTAATCGTCTAGTTCTTTAGTCTTTTTCGGCGCTAAAGACTGGGTAAAAACTTCGATTTGTTGACGCTGCAACTTGGCATACATCAACACCAACCCATCCGACACTAAAATAAAAGGTTATTGTAATTTTTGCCTTTTTGATAAAATGTTAAGTAACAATATGGAATTAACCTTCAAATTCGAGCTTTGGTTATGCTAGCTTATTACTTTTCCTTGTGATAACTTGTATACAAGAACGGACTACTAATTCAATATTTGACAAACACACGAATCGTTCCAATTCAGAAAACTTAATTACCAATGGAAATCAATTTAACGAGCTTAAAATTAATCAGATGATTTGAGGAAAAATTCAAAGATACTCATAAAAGATATCGACTTGCAAACACTAGACACGTTTCACTTTTTATAACCTGGCGCCAATTTGTTACGTTCGGACCTGTGCCGATCTAGGTTTAATACCTTTATAACTGCAGCGGCTATATAAATTTTTATCTATTTATGCTCAATTATTTTATGCATTAAATGCGCATTAAATCGAGACTGCTGAGCTATTACTTACGACAAACTTTTCCCAAGATAATGTGAGTTAATAGACTAATGATTTCGAATTATGAGATATTTTACCACTGAAGCATAAGTTGTTAAATGTTTGCAGTGCAAAGGTTTGAAGTATATTTTCTATTCAATTTTCAGATTTCTTAATATTCGGTTAACTGATGGCAACTACTCATAATCAAGCTTGTAAATCATAAGTACAATTTTTGGACATCTGGACTAATATCTATTTCAAAATCAAGCACAAGTAACGTTTATTAAAATAATTCGTTCATTTTGATCACCACCATACATGTAAATTATAGAGATAAATTTCACACATTTAGCCTTCAATACCTATTCCAAGACTAACTATAAGTAACGCGCATTAAAGAAGTAGGTTAATTTTCATCGTATACTATTAAACATTTTTTTTTTATAGCGTCTTTTGTTTAAACAATTTGCTTAGCGAATGACGTCAAGGCATGTTTTTAACGATCCATTTGAGATATTTGTAAATACCATACATTTCAGAACAGTTTCCAGACGGTCCAAACGCACATAACGCAATCGAACTTGCATACTTTTCTTTCGTGTTTCATTTTATGAATTTCTATCGTTTCGCTTATATATATTTGAATACATACGTTGAATATATGTACAGTTCTGCTTGTTTATGGATAAATGTAGTCATTGTTTCACTGAAAATTCCACTGGCCTCCACTGCTGTGTTCAATATTGTTGGATGATATTATGGAATTTCATGTGTTTCGGTGTTCAGTTTATAACACGTTTATGTCAGCAAAACGAGTTAATACTTCGCAGAAGTGTTTTTAAATAGCTAATGGAAAATTATATAACAGCTTTGATTAAACGTTAGGGAACAGTTTAACTCTTATGTTTGTGGGTAGTAATAGCATTCGCTCATAGGTTGTAGAAAGTTCCTTGGATTTCACAGTAATTAATTATGGTTTCTGAATCCCTTTTGCTTAACACATGGTAATCTCCAAGTCCTTACAAATTTCATAATTTGATTCACAAATAAAACACACGATCTGACTTTCGCTAATATTTCTTGCAAAAATCTTTGATCTATACAACTTTCGCGTTGCGTTTAATTAATAAAAAAACATCATAGTGAAAGGGTTACCAACCACCTCAATAACTTCACATCTTTCTAATCCCTACACCACTTGTGGTACAGAGTATAGAAATTAGTGCGGTTGTATGTAACATGCAGAAGGGGTTAAGATGGACCCACCATTTATTAAGCTTCAAGTCCCAATTTTTCAATGTTTTGATGAAATTTGGTACAGTGACGTGTTTCGCCCAAGGACGAAAGTTACTAAAAATAGTTCGAATCGAGGTATTTTTTCAACCACTCCCCATATAACGGCCTATTGCGAAAAGTCGTTATATAGAAAACAATTGTAATTTTCAAAATCTCTCGGCAAAAGTGGCTAAATAATAGTATTTTAAATTGGTATGAAAACTTTGGGCCGGTTGGGCAATTTATGAAACTTCTCCCATATAGCGAAAACCGAAGGTCACAACGAAGGTATAATTTTCAATGTTTCACGATGAAAATTATATCATAATAGCAAAAAATGAAAATTATATCATAATAAAAAAATGAACTGTGCCAAACTTGGATCTCGCCCTATTTTTTCGTTTCTACCCTAATGATCATTTTCACGAAAATTGATCCTTTGTAGAGAGGAAAAATTAAAGTTTTAACAAGAGATGGTGGAAATTGATCCATAATGTTATAATGATTTCAATCAAAAATTAACTCTACACAATTTCGGCCTTCTATGCCCATTTTTGGACCCTGCCCGATGTAAGGACTAAACTTGTGCTACATTGGGTTGCGTTTTGGGCCTGCTTGCACTGAACTACGCATCTGAAAAATATGCCATAATTTTTGTGTAAAAATAAGAATTCTGTTAGACAATGTGGTGTAGGCTATTTAATGGTCGGTCTTGCCCGACTATATATTCTTACTTTTTGTTATTATTTAAAGCCCATTCCAAGTTATTGTTGATGCGATTTACAAATTTTGGTTCTACCGTTCCCAATAAATTTTGAAGCATTGTGGGCATGTTTGGCTATTGACTATTTTTAAAAACTCAGCAAACGAATTTGTATGTAATTTACAACCGCTATTTTGAGGATAGGTTTTAGTGTCCCAACGAAGCAAATCAACAACAGATGATTCATTGTGCTCAGTAAACAAGTAAAACATGAACACGACAGAAAGACAATCTATTGTAGATGTGAGGAGAATCTTTGAGAACTTTAGTGTTTTTTGTGCGAAGAAGGCTGCGACTACTTGTTTAATTTTAAGATCATCTTTTACCATGGTTATTACAAAAGTCAAATTATTTTGACAATAGTTCAATGTCAACATCCGGCATGAGTTGGTTTGAGGCATAAAATTTTGGTGTGACTAATTGTATTCATCTACCTTGTGCTTTGTAAGCATCTTCTTAACGTTTGCTTCCTAGATGCATTTAATTAGATAAATATGGTGAAGGTCTTGAATTTAAGTGCTCCTAATAATTGTATAAGCGATGAACTGACCCGGTTCAGTAAACTGAAGGTAAAAAGAATTCATTACCTTCTTTCTGATGTTTTTTGAAATAAAAATTTTTAAAGGAAATTTTAAGGTAGTGAAAACATTTTACGCTTTTCGCAATACTTTGACAAAAGATTTATATGTGAAGATATATGTATTTCTTAGTATTAATGAAATAACCAATAATTCGATTCATGGAAAAGTGCAAAAAATACTCAAATAGATTTTTTAAGCAGTTCTGCATTTTTTCAAATTATTTTTTGGGCTTTTCTGCTTATTAAATAAGAACGTCGGGTTGCTCTTCTTAGGCATCTTCATTTCTGGCTCGCTCCCATCTTCTGGTTGTTCGATCTTTTGTTTTCCTCCGTGCTCCGTCCATGTTGTTCCTCACAGGATTGTAAATTTTCTTGAGTGAATCACAGTCGTAAATCGAACGCAATACGTGATGCAATGTTTTTGAAACCTATACTTGTACCTTTTATGAAAATTTAAAGAGAAAAAAAAGAAAAAAATTACATGGTTAAATCAATTTCGTTAAAAAAATTCGATGTGCAATGCCAAACAAAAGAAAGAAGCATAATATCACGGTAAGTTTGTAAAAAGGTTTGTATATTGTCAGCACTGTGATTGCTTTTATTACACTCACCCAAAGATATCTTTACGTTATATTTTTAAAAAATAAATATTTAATAAAAATATTTTTTTGGACACTGCAATTTTTCTTCGAACTTCCGTCGAAGTAATTGTAAACAATAATTTTTTTTTATTTGTTTCAGTCCTATAATGTATTTAACTCAGCGTTAGTTATAGGCCTTCGATTTTTATATGTATAGAATAAAAAGGAAAAAATTGTACCTCATCGGCATTCATACGTATTGAGAAATTGGACAATTAGAAATATTACATCTGGTTCATTCAAGTGAAAAGCATTTGAAATTGTAATGGACTTTGTGGCAAAATTAACTGCGGCAATACGTAAAAGCCGGCGCAAAAGTTGGAATAACAACCTCAAATAAAAAAACGCTGACCATAATTATACATACTAAATACTGCACAATTAAAATTCAGAACTGTACGAATTAGAAAGGATTTTCCGGACCATGTAAGAAAGTTGCGGTTGGATACAAACGCAAAGGCTCATTGCTTTATAAATGCTTGATAAATTCGAAAATGGCTGATAATGGCGACCAGGTAAGAATATTATAGTCGGGCAAGGCGGAACATTCAATACTCTACATCACCACGTCTTATATGGTCATTTATTCCTTTGTGGTAATACGTCAAAAATTGCGCATTATTTTTATGTAAAAGCATACTTTTCATGAAAGCCCTTGTATCGGAAGATGCGAAAAATGTCATCTGACTTGGGCCGAAATCAGCAAACCTAATTTCCTTTTCTGTGATTTTACAAATAAGATTTTGCAGCTACATAAGGACTTGCTTTTCCTTGCTTTTTCTTATATATAATGGAGTTTAAAAAGCAGACTTATGTGATCCAAATGCTCTTCGAGTCTTGTGCTGCGTTGCTATTATAGACCAATTTTCATCGTAAAATATTCGAAGTTAAAACTTTTTGCTAAAAGGCTCACTATTTATGAAAACCCTTGCAAAGAAAAACGTTCGAAAGCATGGTTCCATGTAGTTCTAATTTGGTCCACTTAATTTTTACGTCAAGTCACTATTGTGGGCAAAGAAGGGTTTATATGTAATGTGCGTTGATGCCGGTCAACGGTGTGATTCAAATTTAAGTTAAGTTTTATATAACATTACCTTTACGAATCGGTCTTCATGGCGAAGTATTGAAAACTTCAGATTTTTGCCATATGAAGACTTACTTTTATTATAAAACTTATATGGGACCGAATACAAAAAGTAGAGCCACTTAGTCTAAATTTAGTAAGATTCATTTTTACGCAAGTTATTAATATGAGCTAATTTTCACCATGAAATATTGGAAATTAAAACTTTTCTAAATAGTATTTGTGAACGATTTATGCCACAACATCCTGAAAATTGCAATTGTTTTTTATATAAAGATTCTTCAAATTAATATGTTATACGGAGAGGTTAAAACAATGGTCCGATCCAACCCGTTTTCAATAGGGATCGTCCTTGCGTCAAAAGACGCCATTCAAAGTTGCGACCTCTAAGTAGAACACAAAAAACATGGGCAGACATGCTTATAAGCTCTGAGTCATTTTCTCAATCGATCGACGCTCCACTAAAAGACAACTGATAATGACGTACGCATCACAAAAAAATAGAGTTACAGACTGCGCTAAGAGAACACCTATTGAAATGCGCAGCGTATCGCACATTGTCTTTTTGCCTGTTTTCTACTGTCATTGCATAACATTAAAAGTACAATATCGGACAACCGCAGCTTATAATATTGCTTGGATTGACATTTACAAAATAAAAAATGAAGAAAAAGCAAAAGAATGTAAAGAGAAAATAATCGATCAGGTGAGGTCAGTAACAAATGTGACAAGAGAGAAAATGCCGTCCGTTGTTGACTGCAAAAGTCCTATTTCATCTTTCTTCATGTAAATATAATATTTGTGTGTAAATATGTAGCAATTCTGAAAATTTTACCAGCGAAAGAGTTTTGTACAAGTTTGTAATCACTTAAAGACTTGAGCTCTAACCGATATTGGCGTGCAGCCAAACAAATGATAAAGAAGTACGTTAAAAATGAATAACAAGAAGTAAGTAAAATGATCCTGCAGGGATTGCAATTGTTGAACGTATAAAATTGAATCACAACACTGGCAATAAAAATTATTTACGAATGGGTTGAGCTAGGCATAGAATTTTATTTGAACATATGTTCACTAGACCAACAAAAGGGGGAATATATTAAACACGGCTTATATGCCAATAGCAATAAAAAACACTCTGTCGTATTCCAAGTACGCATGGCTATTAAAAATAAAACTGGGATTCGAATGGGTTATGTCACCGATATATAAAGATTCAATGTAAAGGGGGTTTTGATTTTGAAATATAATATAATAAAAACAGTGAATAATGTGGGCCCAATTTTCTCCTAGAGACCAATAAAAACGAAATTGACGTCGATATTTGAGTTTAGAGATAAACGTACTTAGGAAACATTTTCAAGTGCCCGCACGCTCGGAGCGTATCAGCCGTACCTTAATAGAAATGACCAGATGCACACGTTATCACATTCGAAATCACGGGCCAACAAAAGAATTATTGGAGATATTTAACCGGAAAATTGCACATCCACCAAAGATTAGAAATTAAAAAACGTTGACAACACCTTCATCTTTCAGTATACAACCCTTGAAGAAGACGGCCGTTGTTGTCTTCTCAACACTTCTTTAAGAGACAGGGTGGGTAGTTTTACTGATTACACGATTCTGTTACTTATTCACAAATAAGAACTTTGCCGCAAGCACGTAAACATCTTTATTCCAAATTAATGATTTAGCAAGAATACGTTACAATTTTTGAACTAGAATTGGATTGTTTTGTATATTGGTTATACGTGTGAAATAAAAAAAAGGGCAAATAAGGAGAATTTATTTGATAGTGTGTGAAGAATCCAATTTAAGATTACGGTGTGTATAGATACCATTTATAGGGTATCCCAAAATGTATCCAAGATTTGAACTAAATAGAAAGCAGAGTATTTTTTTTCAATTGCAATCTTTTTATTGAATCATAACGTATATAAGGTACGTATAGGATAGGGGGTACACGACAAAAAAATGTCTCAAGCAGCAATTGAATTTTTTCACAGGATATATAGTATTGGACAACGCCTTTTTGAAACCATATCTCGTTCACATCACCATCGTCCAGTCTATGCAGAAAGAACTGGGTTATGATAGCGCGATATCGAGCACTGGTAACACTCACTGCTTGATCAGCCTCATTTTCGAAGAAATATGAACAAACTTTCGTTATTTTTGAAATACTGTTCAATAATGAAAGCGCTTTGCTGTCTTGTACAATGCTCTATTTTACCTAACCCTAAACTGCCAGGTGTCAAATTGTCTTTTTTGAGTGGCCAACACGTACAAGCGTACAGCGTACAAATGGCAGCAAACTCAAATCTTGCCTGAGTTGTGGGACATCCTATACACGTTCGCAAACGGTTCTCAACGGTTTGAAAAAAGCATATCTACATTGAGATTGAAAATGAAGTCCCTAGAAGAACGGGTAGGAACATTGGAATTGATCTCTCCTAATAAGACCTATCTTAATAATAACATTTGTTAGCTTTAATTAAGAAGGAGACACTTAGGACAAGCCCACATTTCTTTAACAAAGTTGGACGTAAAAGCAGCGATCTATTTTCATAAAGTGTAAACAATAATGAGCGGATCTCAACGTAAATTCTGAACTTTATTGAGTCCACACGGACATAGTCAAACACTCACCTTACAAAGTCGGTATATAGCCTATATATAAACTACCTCTGACGAGTAACTACACGTTCAAATTTAGCTTTATTTACTTCGTCCAAAAATTAATGAGAACTTATATTTAGGTTTACAATGTTGGTACGAAAATGCTATACTTGGTGATTTGAGTTTTCATGAAATTTAGACGATTTTCTGGGAAATCAAAATTTAAAGGGAAAGCCAGACACACATTCATAACGTTTCACCCGCCCCATGCAGCTGAAGATTATCGGAAAGATTAACAATAGTTAACAGAACATTTAGCGGAAAAAGGGATTAACCTAAAAATGTCGTTATGAAGTTAGGTATTTATAACTTTCTTGTAAAAGGACATATAAGCAGAATATTTGCGGTAGTCAAATTCAATTAAGTCAAGATGAGTTGAATCTTAATATTCAAGCGAATGAAACCATTTTAAGTAATAATTCTTGGCAATAATTTTTGAAGAAAACCTTTACTATCCAAATATCGCAATTCAGCGGTATGGACCTAATCTCGAAAGAAGTTGAATAAAAACGTTAAGTTCACACAAGACGTTACAAAATATTTTTTGTATATACACGCTCCTCTTATCAGGTGCTTTCATCTTCTTTCGCCTTTGCTTGTAGCCTTATTACCGAAATTATTGGAGTAAGCTTGTAATTCAATAGAAAATAATGTACAATGACCACCATTCGAATTTCTGCCGCTGAAAAGTAAACATTAAAATTTTTATTTTATGTTTTCTAGACAATATCTCATAAGTAAGGTGCTTTAAGTACATTTTAAGGAGTAATTGTGTTCATAGTTGTGCTGCTAGTTGAAACTGCCACGCGGAAGTGAATTTTCGAATGAGAAAAGCAGGAAACTTGGAGCAATGAGGCCTGATAAGAAATAATAAAGATGATAAGAGATAAAGCCGATAAGAAAATTGTCGTAATAGCAGTTGAGATAAATCAGCACCGCAATACAGTCACAAATAATCGAAAAGATTAACATTTATGGTTGCATGAAGCGATAGATGCATTGGATGCGCGCATAAAAAAAGAGTTAGACCTAAATATAATGAGACAGCGTGTGCACCAACTTTTTAAGGATGACATATATCTTAGATATGAACACAAAAATGTCGAACAACGCTTAATCAAGCGTGCCCGTATTGCGTTTGCCGACAAATACCAATTTTTGTGAGGAAGACTTCGAAAATATTATATTTGCCACCATAAATATTTAAGGAATGTCCGATAATCTCGCCCAACGAGTTACGAGTGCTATAATGGATGGTGGATAGGGTATTGGGAGCGTTTGAAAGACGAGGAAGGTAAAAAATATGCTTTGTACCCAGCAAAACGAACTGACAGCGAGAATTTAATAGACCGTGACTGAGAGTTATTTGGTGATAATTACATGTTCCAACAAGACAACGCTCCTAGCACCCATGTTGCATAGCTTACAAAGGAATTTTTCAATCAGCAATAGACAGTTGCTGGAGTGGTTATCCGTACGTCCCGACCCTTCCCGCCAGGTTATTTTCTAAGTCTAAGCGGAACTTCACTCTTCAATAGTTTGAAATATTGTCGGACTGGGAGATGATTTCTGTCATGCATTTTTGCACTTATAAGGATACTGGAAAGTTCTGTTCATTTTTAGAATAAAACAAAATACAGATCACCAATCTTCTCTTCCGAATATACATCGTTTGCTGAACTGAACTGATCCTTTCTGCGATCTTCAATGGTATTAGAAAAGGACTTTGCTTAACAATATCGTTCTCTTTCAGAAAGTGGTTTATCAGAAAGGTCGAAATCAACTCTTTCAAATTTTCGAAATCAACTTCCGCATCTCATGTCCTATCAAAAACACTTTCAATAAATTTCTACATACTTCTTTAGCATTTCTTCCTTGTTGCAGTTCGTATAAAATACAGTGGCGTCGATGAACTTGATCACTAGCCATGGGCACACTATTGCTTTACATATAAGACTAACGTGAATCAACTTCGCTTTAGTTGATTTGCTACGTCGGTATGTACACATTAAGTAAAAATAGAGAGTCGAACATGCGCCGAATAAACATGTGCTTACGTGTCGAAAATTGTTGTCATAGAACTAGACAGAACTTTCCCGTAGATGTGATATAATTGTTTTCTTTGAAGTGCATGTTTGTTAAATATATATGAACATAAATAAATACAAAACAAATGCCGAAGAAGGCTATTCTTTTCGTACTCAAAATTGTACATTGCACATATATATATTTGAAGGGGGTATAAATCGTCGAGTTGTTTGGACCGTTGTTTAAATCAAACTTGACACATATCTAGCTTCAAATATTTTTACAGATGTAAATTGTAGCGAAGCTTAAGACCAAACAGAATGCTTACATTGAGAAACTAGTTCACATTCTCCAACTTGTATTCATCACGAACGAGACACACCTTGACAACTTCGCATATGTCTTTAGATTAAACATTATAGTATGAAACGGAGACCATGTCCAAATCGAATCGAAAGAGGCAGACAATGCGATCTTAAACGAAAGGAATAAAACAGCTAAACATAATCAGCGTTTGCCAAGATTTATCTCGGTGGGAGATCATTGATATACAAGACCAATAAGAAGGCCCCTAAATGACTGCCTTGAAAAAAATCTGAGGTCTGAGAACGACTATATCAGAGTATTCTGAAGCTTTAAGATATTTAGGAATAAGGTCAATGTGTTTCACCTAGCAAAAAATACCAACGTTTAGGCGAATGTAGGAATACAGCTAGAACGTCACCTCTGATTTGATCCCATTTATCCCATCGAAATGCGTAGAAGCCGTCGAAAAAATTTCATGCGTGTATAAATCAGATTTTAGCCAGTTCTGTGCTACCAAATCTCACTAAATTCAGGTAAGTAGACCGACTTTTAGACTTTAGGCCCTTAACACCTTCACAGATCATAGACACTGACCGATAACTGAGTTTTTTGTGGGGTGAAGAGTGATAAAATTACTATTTCTGGGTCTGTCCCGGTGTGGTCCCATTTGTCTCTCTTGGTGTACTGGTATTGTATTTGGATTTGTCAACAACTAAAGAAATCACTTGCTGCACATAACATATGTATATCGACACCGTTGGATGTTAAATTTGCGAAAAAAATTCGTCTATATGAAATCCAAAACGTGGTATATATTTAAAGTCGGGTGTGAGCAGTTCTTAGTTTTATTGATTAAAGTATTAATTGTTCACCATCGCATGTTTTTTTAAGTTACAGCTAAAAGTTATGGCAATTCTTTTTTAAAAACCTTAGGGATGTTATTAAAAGAAGGTTTTTTTTTATAAAAGATATAATTTTCCGCAATTTTTGGAAGTCTAGCCTAGTTTTCGAGATGTTCATGACATATACATATATACATACACATATTTTTACCAAAAGTGGTCACTTTGATCCCCTATTTTTGTCGACTCGTCACAGTCGCAAAATGAAGATAGAGATCTGAAATTTGGCGTGGGCATTCCTTGATCGATTAAGAATCCAATTTAAAAACATTATCATGCTCTGCCTAGATACTCGCCCACCAAACAACCTCCAAAAAAACCATAATTTTTTTCATATGTTTGTCTGCAATTTTCGATTTCGTGGAGATATTTCCGAAAACCTGCTATCTAAACAAAATTTCGATTAACAGTCTCTAAAAAAATTACGGCACGCAAAGGTGCAAATCAATTCAAACGTTATGAGGTCTCTTCTGAAGAATACAGGACTGGAACTTAAAGTCTGCAGTCACTCTACATAACTTCAATAATATGCGAAAAAAAATCTGAATGTGATTAAACAAGTATTTCGCTTCGTTCAAGATACAAAATATGTATAATCGGCTTACACAAAAAAAAAAAAAAAAAAAAAAAATGGCGAAAGAGTTGGGATAAATTTTTGAAATTTCTCCTGTATAGACAAGAAGGCGACAAATATTAAGCATTCATTTGGTAATAAGGTTTCAGTACATTGATACTTTATGGAACTAATCCAAAACAGCGATTTAACAGATAAGTTTATTGTATTGCTTTATACTTAAACCACACGAGTCTGTTGTTCGAATCACACGCATTGTACACGTTTTAATGAAATCTAAGCTTTTAAAAGACACATGATATAATTTTTGATATTTTATGGCGCAATTAGATGAAGAGTTGTATCAAAGGTGGTGTAGGGTACTTAACGGAGGACGCCGCCCAATTGCAACGTTTTACGTTTTGTCACCTGTTCAACTGAAAACACATTTTTCCTCGAACATTTCCACAACATAAAGTTCGTCATGTCCTATAATGTTAGTGGACTAATTTTCCTGAATTTTCAGTTCATTATACTTCGAAAAATAGTTCTTAACGCACAAAGTCACAAAATCCTAAAGAAAATATCAAATTATTAAGAGAATACTCAAGTGACAATATTACAATTTTTCATTTAAAAATCAGTATTTATAAATACTAGGAGACATTCGGAATACTTTTTCGCATTTTCATATTATATAATAAGAGGTCTGCAATCGATCAAATTTTCAGAAACTTTTGATGATTAAAGCGATAGTTATGGTCGTGGTTTTTTGGGAAAACGATAATGGATACAAGAGACTAATGCAATTCAATTCAAAACATTTCACTTGAAATCACTGCATTGCAATCAATCGTTAAATCCTAACTTGAAACTACAAACTTACGACTTTTGTCTATATATAAACATACAGCGATTAATGGGAAATAATGAAAATTGAAATGTGAAAACAAACTACTGGTCATTTAGGATGCAAAATTTCTTCCTTTGCCCCTGTTTCCTATGAGCGCTTTCATTTTCTCTTTGTTAATAAGGAAGCAAACTAGCTATCTTTAAGCAATGCAATTATATACACTGTCACAAAATCGACGAGATATAGTTTATATTTCTGTTCTGTTAAACTGGATTTGACTTGTTTTGGTTGGTTTCAAATCGTCCTCAATGTAAACGCATTGAGTAGTAGGGTAGAGTAGAAGTTCTTACGATTACGTAATATATTAACGTATATATGCAATTATATGCATAAAAGTACACATTTTATTATATATACAAAGGTGTATATAATTGTGATGTAGATTGAATAGTTTGCCTTGATCAGAGTATGTAAAATTTTTCCTTCGCCATTATTGCTCAATAGTCGCTTATACCCCACCTAGTTTTAAATTAAGAAACCATAAAAATATGAATGAGCTCTTGCTTATTTAAACAATTCTTAATCTACACTTTTGTGTGGACACTGCACATGATTTCTCGTTCAATTACCGGAAATACGTTTGAATCTCACTCCGTTCAGGGAGAGACGAGGTAGTTTGCAGACCTCGATTTCCCATTGCACCAATGAATCGGTATTTGGATCACCGTGAACACACCATAAAACAAACCTTTAAAGGAAGTTAATTTTTATATTTTTGTTTGTATTTGTAAAATAATTTCACAAAAGAATATATAAACATATTTGTGTATTTTGGTAAATGATAAAGTGTGCGTGTACAATGGAACTGTATGTATAAATACGTATGTGCGTGTGTATTTCTAATTTTCTATTATGCATACCTTTCGCGCTGCTCATAGTCACAATTATTTTGATCGAGCACTTCTCGAATCTTCTGCATTATTTGATCAGGCATTAACGGGGATGTAGTTTTCATGGACCAAGTGAAACGTAAAACCCTTGGCTTAGCTGATTCTTCAGTATTGGAATTGCTGCTAAATTAATACAAAAATAATGCAATGGAAAATATTTAGCTAGAAAGAGATTATAAAAACGTTAGCGGATTCAAAAATGCAGGACGTCCAGAATCCGTCGTAGTGAATATGAAAGCGTTAAGAACTTAAAAGGATCACATATGTAGATAATTTAACAATTTCGAACTAAAAAATTTTTCTAACTTTACTAATTATATTTAAGCTACCACCCAAAGTTCAGAGTAAATCGCTAACACTCAGGGACACCTCTTACCGTTTCTATAATATAATCCAATCTCAAACACATCGAACAAATCTGAACAAGTGTGTCAAAAGTATAGCAGATGTTAATCTGATATATTTAGCAAGCCCTTACGAAACTATAGTAATCGAAAAGCACTGAAAAAGCCTTTAATTAGTATATTTGCCATTTTCTTTTCATTAATATTCATTGCAACCACATATGTTCGCGTTTAATGATGTTTCTTCGACTTGTTCGACGTTGAGCCATACGCCTATTAAACTAATTATGAGAAGTAGCCCAAACCACTGTGTTGGTTTTGTTTTGCTAACTTTTACAATGAAATAACCTTATCCTTAGATTTTACATATATACTATTAGGTGTTTGCAAATATTTTGATCACTCTTTTATTTTGAAAAGGCATCTATTGTGAAAAATTGGTACAACAGATATTAACTAAAATAATTTCCGTCATTTACTACAACATTTTGCAATACTTTTGGGAACATGCCGTCATTATGTCGAAAGAATTTTGGCAGCGATCCTCCCACGGACCCAATTTCGCACTTCCTCAATATTGCGGACCCGCATGCCAGCCAATCCTTTTTGCACCGATCTGAACAAGGCGCCAGGTTTGGTGAGTACGCTGTGTGTGGCAGAACTTCACATTCGAGCTGCAATAGTATGTCCTGGACAACTCTTGCAACCAGTGGCCAAACTATGGCATTTTCAGTCAATTCGTTTCACCACTTTTAAACCGTTGAAACCAAAACCGGCAATTGGAATATGGTGGAGCACCGTCACCATAAACCTCGAACGTGTTTGGTGGGCTTCGCCAGCGGATTTCTTCAAATAAACAGGAAAAGTATGGAAATTGGAAGAAGAAAACTTATGAGCGCCCAATGATTAGCGTCGGCGTCCACTGAATAAATCAATAATATTAAATGAAAACTATTATTTTATGTAGAGGAAGGTCAAAACCATCGAATTTAATCGTTATTTATACTAGTATTTTCCATCTCTTTATCATTTTTATCTGTAGAAGTTGCTGATCAAAACTTTTGCAAGCATCTAATAATTAAACGACTACACTGTGTTAGCTTAATTATGACATTCGCAATTCTTAAAAATTGGTGAATGCTAATTAAGAGTTGGGAATAAATCTTGTGATATTCAAAACGAGAATAATATTAACATGCGACAATTCAAAAGAATGCCGTACATTGTTATCCTCTCGATCAGCTTGAACAGCGCAATGAATTTAAATGCGCTTTTTTTGTGCACCTTAAAACTGCAAAATGATAACAGAAATATATACCGCGCACGATAGGGATGATACGTTATGTGATAGCAAAAACAATCAGTCACTACTTGAATACGAACTAGTTGTAAACAATGAAACATTCCGCAAAAGATAAATGTGGATTTCCTTCATGTTTTGATCGGTATTAATTCCGAACTAGAGGGTCGAAAGGGCAATATTTGGCTACAAAGAAAATATGCCATTTTGTTATACAAGGATGTAAGAAATATTATCACAAAAAACACCAAAAGGGCTTTTGTTCAAAACTTGATAAAAAGTAGCACCATCCTAATGAACGGTTGTTCCTTTCACTGCATATTATAAGGCGTAAGAACATAACATAAACCAGTATCCAGCAAAATATGGTTGCTTTGAATGCGATTTTAGACAGGGCTTTTATTTCGAAAGCACGATTTTTCTCAAGATGATTAGGAAGATGACCTTAAACGGGTTTTTCTTTCTTCGACAAATGGATTGCTAACTGAGGGATAATATGAACCTTCTTTAAAGAAAAATGTGAATGATGCAACATTTTGTCGTGCATTTTTAAAAGAAAAAGAGTTTTAGTCATCGTTAAAAAATGATTCATTAAAGGCACAGCAAAATCAGGCAAGAACAGAATCAATTAGCTGCTTTGAGCTCATCCCACCACACTCTTAATACTTTCGTTTGTTTTTGTATCGCTTAAATATTAGGAATTTTAATTCTGATGAATTTATGTAGCAATCTCCACTTTTTAAGAAAACTTTTCTTAAAAATACGAAAGTCGTTTTAAAAAATTTGCAGAAAAAAGGTTAAACTGACATTTAAATGATTAATAGAATTCTCCTTTAAAATGCAAATTGTACCCCAAGTATTCTATATAAGTTTTATAACTCTTAAACAATTATTGTAGAATACCTAAACAGATGTCTTTTACTCTATAATGCAAGATTTTTTACGATGAAAGTACACATTGAAACGATATGAAATAATCTCACACTGTCATGGGCAGCAATAACACTGAATTTTAAAGAAGAACGACAAGCAAGAAGAAGAAACGTCAAATAAGAATTTTTCAGATTATGACACTGTATATCTATCGACGATAAACCTGACCCTTAAAACTAATAATGAAACAAATTTACAACTTTTTGTTAGTGCTGACATCTTTTTATACATATATTGCAGGTGTGTTATGCATTTTTCCTTTTTTTGCCATTTGTATGTAAAAGTTTTCTGAGTTTTCACGATTGATTTTATTTTACGTAATACAAGTCTTAAACCAATATTTTTTTTATTATTAAGTAATTAACTACTTATTTTCATTCATTACGTGCAAAGGTGTTTTTGTTTTGTTTAAACAACATTTCCTTACGTTAAGATAATTTTGAAAATAGTAATGATGCGACAGAAAGTTTTTTTGCATGCAATTGTGTTTTTGTAACATTTATGTATAAATAATTATTATGTTAATAATAACATAGCTTAGCTTTCATTTTCCTTAGCAAATTCAGTAAAGTAATCCTATTCATTTTGAATCAGTTAATTTAGAAAATGGTAATTACTACTAAATTAAGTTAAAGAAGAAAAGATCAGCGCATTTCCTTTTCATTGCTTATGAAAATATATATTACTGATAAAACTCAAAGTCATTTACTTAAACACTAAAGATAAAAAATATTACAAGATTTGCCGCGAAAATTGCGCCACGTTAACTTAAAGTAATAGATTGTTAATGGAATTGTATATTTAGTGAATTATTAGTTATTTTTATATTGGATTATTTTTTGGTTTATTCAAACAAAGCAAATGTGCGCGGTTCAGTTGTAACAATATTATATTAATATTTATGTAAAAAAAAAAAAAAAATACAATAAACAAAATATTAGCTTAAGAGAAGTAGTAAACAGAGAAAAGAACAATGTAAAGACTATCAAAAAGAGCAGCTTAGCATGTTTTCACTTTGCTTTTTCTATTTGATAATGTTTTTTTGGACTATTCATTTTCGGCTGTGTATATGATTTATTTTACTATACTTTGTATATAAATTAGTTTTTGCTATTTTACTTTACATTATTTTAATTGATTAAACTATTATTGAAAACATAATTTCTTGTTTTTGATTTTATACATAACGATGTTGCTCTCTCTGCTCATTATGTTTGTAATATTGTGTTTTGTCCCTCTTTTGTCTCCCTTTGTCTCTCACTTTCACTCCCTTCATTTTGTCTCTCATCCTCACTCTCATTCTCTCTTTCTTCTTTCTTTCTCTCTTTTACTCTTTCTGTCATTTAATTTTTACTGACAATTACATATCATAACATTTAGTTAAATCAGTTTTTTTTCATTTAAAATTTTTTTCATTTCTAGCATTCATTCGTAAATTCGTACGTAACGTATTTATTTACTGGTTTGGCCTAAAATTAAAGAAAAAAGGAATTATAAAAACAAATTATTCACATTGTTTGCAAAAAATTATATAAATATCAGAAGTACAGGATTCAAGTCATACACATGAACATATGCAACTTCGTACATTACTATGTACCTAATTTATACATATGCTTTTACATGTGCCAATATATTTATTTATATATATGTATGTACATATATATATATATATATTTACACAAACACATTTAAATCCATTTATATATGTATATATGTATATACGCATGTATATAAAATTTTGTACATCAACTTTTTTCATTTCATTTTTGAAGGTTAAAAAATTAAGTGAGAAATAAATATTTAGAAATACTTTGTTCAATAAAATACGTACACAGTGTTAAGAGAGTCGGAGGGTAATCCAGAATATAAGAAATAAAATTAAATTTTTAAAAATTTCGGAATTGGAAATTTCGAAAAAGAAAAGCATAAGAGGATTAAAAATCTACTGAATTGTGAAAATTGCTAATTAAACAAAAAGTTGAGGCCAAAACAATTATAAACAAAAAGCATTTTAATGTCTAGTCAACTAATATCGTTGCTAATACCTTGCAAATGTTTAACAGTTCCCCCAGCAATACATACGTCTCGAGTCTCGATCCAGTCTAAAATGTTTGACAATAACCCCTGCTGTGCCTTTGTAATGGTTTACTTTTTATAATTCGGACCCATTTGCTTATGCGGAATGTAATAGCGTTAATTTGCAAAAACTCTAATCGACTTTTGTTAACACTTTCGGACGCTAAATAGTGAAATATTTCAAAGGTACTTAGCAATATCATTATTTGTACTATTATATCATAATGAAAAAAGATAAGTTAACTCAGTTAACGATAGCCTTTATTAATCTAACCATTTAGATAAACATATCTCTTACGACTATTCCTCTTATGTATAATTTTAGCTTATTTCTTGACGTTGTTAACTCTAATCTACAATCGCTTTTATTAATCTAACCATTTAGATAAACACATCTCTTACGACTATTCTCCTTATTTATACTTTTAACTTGTTTCCCATCGTTTTTGTTGTCACCAACCTATATT